AACAAGTCACACCATAACGGAGCTACAAGTCAACAACAGCTACATATCCGACACAAGACTTATATTATAATATTATATTATTATTAATTACTATATAAATATTATATTAATAATAATCTATATTGTATAATTCTATATTATTATCAATATTTATAATATATAAACTAATAAAAAACAGATATATGTAGTAATATAATAATTATTAATATATGTTTAGTGTGTTGTTCTAGATATCATATAATATAAAATATATATTGGTGTCATATAAACTAATTATATTATATAGGTTAAACAATTATATTATATAATACCGAGTATGTACGAGAAGAGATGAGTTGAGTAGACTAATGACGAGACTGAAGATTAACCATGGAGTGCTGTGTGCTGGATGTTGTTGCTTGACTGGTTGGTGCCTGCGAGAGCTGGTTGAGGGACGCTGCTGTTGTGAGAGGAGGCTGTGGTATGCTACTGGTAATGTTCATGGTGTTGCTTGCTGCTTTGTGGTGCTGCATAGGTGCCCTGCTGTTGCCTTGAGGAGGGGAGAAGACGAGAGGACAGACAGGCAGCAACAGACAGACAGAGGTCAGACAGACACGACCAGTGAACGCAGGACAGACAGAAGCCAGATAGAGACAGAACAGACAGAAAGAGACAGACGCAGGACAGAGAGAGAGAGAGAGAGAGAGAGAGAGAAGAGATGAGAGAGAGAGAGAAGGGAGAGAGACGAGAAGAAGGAGAGAGAGAAGAGGAGAGAGAGACTAGAAGGGACGAGAGAGACGAGAGAAAGCGATTTTCTTAACATCAATTCAGTTAATAGAAGATTTAGTTCAAGATAAAAGATTAATAGACGAAACGCAATAACAAAAAGCATAAATAAAACTTAATCACCTTTTAATATCCAAATATTTGCTTTCCGCGGCACTTAACCGAACTGTTGTTGTTATCGAAAAATAAATAAAAGTTGCGAGTGAGATCACATCAGGATTTATCAGGCCATTAATCCGCGGCGATTAATGCAAAGTACTGCTTGATGCTGTCAAGCAATCAGAGGGATTTCCGAATAGAAAGATATGTCACGATAAGCTTTCATAAAACTAACATCCATTTACTGCCATTGAATAAATGAATTTCAATGGATTTGCAGCGACGGGGTGCTTGGGCCTTCGCTGCGCCCGGCCGGGGTCTGGATGCGGGCCTCGTGCTTCTGCTGCGAGGCTGAGACTTTGGGACACACACACACACGCGCGCGCGCGGCGCGGCACACAGCACACACACACCACATATACCTAATAATATAAATATATATATAAATTACTATTAATATATTAGATAGAGTAGATAGAATAGAATAGATAGATAGATAGCATAGATAGATTAGAGTAGATATTAGTTATGTATTGATTATATGATAATGTGGTATGTGTTGTGTCGAGTGTATCTGTTCGATAGTGTGTCTGCGGTCCTTTACCGGTCATCTTAAATAGGGATTGAAAGCGCTTTCTTTTATTTTTGCTCTTGGTGGTGTGTGCTGGCGGCCCCCAAGAACTCCTACCATTTAGATTCCAATAAAAATAAAGAGAGTTCTTAAGATATGTGGTCTTGAATGCATGTGTGGATGTTGATGTGTGTGTTGATTGTGATAGTGTGTGCTGCTGTGTGTGGTGTTGGTTTATAGATAATTAACTATTGTAGAATAGACTGATTTATATTTGAATATATTATAGAAATATTGTATTATATTATTATTAACAATGATATAATAGGGATATTATGATAAGTATTATTTAGTGCAGTATGTAGAAAAGTAGTAGTCAGGATAAAATTAATAGTTAATATTTAAATTGTAATTTAGCAATTTGAGTATAGTATTCTACCTATAATATATACTGGTCAATTCGCGCTTTCCCCACGTTGGCTACACTCCACTTTTCACGTCAACTCATCTCCTCTCATCGACCTTCTTTAATCTAAGAATCGGTAAAACTTTCTAATCAAGATACGACCACGGCTCAAATTCCAGGTTCGCATAGTGAACTAAGATTGAATATGAGTTTGCAGTGCAATCTGCAATCTGATTATCCGCGCTCAATGTTAGATTATCGGGGTCCGCCCGCCCATCATAGAGATTAGTTGGTGACCTGGCGGTCGGTAGTCCTGTGTGGGGCGGCAGGGAGGCGGCCAGCAACCTTTGCTGCGCGCGGTCAAATTTCGGGTGAGCAAGACGGTTGGTTCGGCGGGGTCGAGTCGTGCGGGTAGTGTGTTCGTGTTGGTGTTTGAGGGTACGGACAAGGAAATGGTGTCTGTGATGTGATGAATCGTGGCTGTGTGGTGTGTGTGTGTGCCTGTGTGGTGTGTTGTATTGTGTATCATATTTTGTGTGTGGATATTGTGCTGTGTTTAGTATTGTGTTGTGTGTTGATAGTGCGTTGTGTGTATTTGTACGTGCGATGTGTTTCTTGAACTAATAAGTGGAGTGTTTTGGTTATTTGTTTGCTTTATATATTAAAGGACATAGTATATCTGGAAGCGAGACTGTAATAGAGAGAGAGAGCCACGGTTGACGATAGCAGTGGACGAGAGAGAGAGAAGATGAGACGTATTGAGAGAGAGGTTTCAGAGTTGTGATGAGAGTGAAGAGAGGAGAGAAGAAGATATCGAGAGAGAGAGAGTAGTTCAAGAGTTAGAGTTGATGAGAAGAGAGAGAGAGAGGTAGAGAAAAGAGAGAGAGAGGATCAAAACGGACAAGAAGTCACATAAAAGAAATTAAGATATGACCAATAAAAGGAAGATCATTTTAACAACGATAAATATTTGCTTTTTCTTCACTGTGAGTTTCTCAGAAGATACGAGAAACATTTCTTGCAGCTCGAGCATTTTCATTTCATTGTGTTCTTGATATCTACCAGAGAAAAAAATACATGGAGTTAAAAATTAGATAAATGAATAAATTGCTTTTAATCAAAAACAAAAACATAACCCAGAATGCCCTAATTTCATCAATACACTCGATAGAAAAGGGAACACAAGGCAGGCAATAAATTCGGAGCAAGCGAGTCCGAACACGTCGTCAACATGTGAGGGAATGACCAATAATTGCGTGGAAGCGTCCGAACACAACAATGCTGTCAGGAGGGCAACATGTCCATCGCTTTCGACCGATCTCTGCAGGGGCGCCAACCTTTCCTGGAACGAGGCCGCTAAAATAATAATGCAGAATGGTTCAGATATATTTACTCCGCATATATAAACATATATGTAAAAACACACACACACACACACAGGGTGTGCTTATACATATATGCGTATATATATATATATATATATATATATATATATATATATATATATATATATATATATATATATATATATATATATATATATATATATATATGTATATTATATATATATATATATATATATATATATTATAATATTATATATAATATATATATATATATATATATATATATATATATATATATATATATATATATATATATATATATATATAATATATATTATATCATATATATATATATCATATATTATATATATATATATATATATATATATATATATATATAATATATATATATATATATATATATATATATATATATATATATATATATATTATATATGTATATAATATATATATATATATATATATATATATATATATATATATATATATAGACTATATATATATATATTATATAGATAGATAGATAGATAGATAGATAGATAGATAGATAGATAGATAGATAGAGAGAGAGAGAGAGA